GTTTATTATATTTAACCTAATTAATTGATATTAAATGAAATTAAAAGTTCAGTTTCTCAGGCATACTAACCATATTTCAACTGCTTAAAAACCACACGTAGCAAAAAGTACCCACAGAGAAAAGCCCAGATCCAGATCGTTTCACTAGTTAATTCCTCAAATATTTAAAGAATTAACACCAGTTCTTCACAAACTCATCCCCAAAAATAGTAGAGGGAACACTTCCCAACTCATTCTCTGAGGCCTGCATTGCCTGGGTATCAAAACCAGACAAAAATGACACGAGAAAAGAAAATTTCAGACCAATTTCTCTTACGAATAGAGGCATAAAAATCCTCAGCAAAATACTAGAAAATCTAATACATAGACCATGACCAAGTGGTATTTATCAGAAATGCAAAGTCAGCTTTACATATGAAAATGAATATTAATTCGCTAATACACCATATCAATAGAATAAAGGACAAAAAACACACGATCATTTCAATAGATGAAAAAAAAAGCAGTTGACAATATTGAAAACCCCTTCATGATCAAAACACCTAACAAACTAGGAATAGAAGGGAACTTCCTCCATATGATAAAGGGCATCCACAAAAAATCCACAGCTAATATCATACTTAATGATGAAAGACTAAAAGCTTTTTCCCTAATATCAGGAACAAGACAAGAATGTCTACTTCTATTTGAATGTTGAAGAATGTTGCCACTTCTATTTAATGTTGTAATGGAGGCTCTAGTCAAGGCAATTAGGCCAGAAAGTGAAATAAAAAGCATCCAGATTAGAAAGGTTTGCAGAGGACATAATCTTGTATATAGAAAATCCTAAGGAATCTACAAAAACCTATTTGAACTAATAACAAGTTCAGCAGAGTTGGAGCATAAAAGATCAATAGACAGGGCTTCCCTGGTGGCGCAGTGGTTGAGAGTCCGCCTGCCGATGCAGGGGACACGGGTTCGTGCCCTGGTCTGGGAGGATCCCGCATGCCGTGGAGCAGCTGGGCCCGTGGGCCATGGCCGCCGGGCCTGCGCGTCCAAAGCCTGTGCTCCGCAACGAAAGAGACCACAGCGGTGAGAGGCCCGCGTACAGCAAAAAAAAAAAAAAGATCAATAGACAAAAATCAATTGTATTTAAAAAAAAATCAATTGTATTTCTAGACACTTATAATGAAGAATCCAAAAAGGAAATTAGGAAAGTAATTCCATGTACAAAAGCAACAAAAAGAATAAAATACTTAGGTATAAATTTAACAAAAGAGGTGCAAATATATACGATGAAAACTACAAAGCATTGTTGAAAGAAAATAAAGATCTGAATAAGCAGAAAGACATCCTATGTTCATGGATCATAAATTAGTGCATTCACTGCTGTGGCCTATGTTCAAGCCCTGGATGGGGAACTAAGATCCCACAAGCTGAGTGGTGTAGCCAAAAAAAAAAAGTTTTGTTCTTTTTTTATTCCACATGTAAGTGAAATCATACAGTATTTGTCCTTATCTATCTGACTTATTTCACTTACTATAATGCCTTTAAGCTTCATCCATGTAGTTGCAAATGGTAGAATTTCCTCATTTTTAATGGCTGAATAATATTCCATTGTATATATTATATATATATATATTCCACAACTTCTTCATCATTCATCCATCAATGGACACTTAGGTTGTTTCCATGTCTTGGCTATTGTAAATAATGCCGCTACGTACATAGGGGTGCAGATATCTTTTCAAATTAGTGTTTTTGTTTCCTTTGGATATATTTGCAGAGGTGGAATGTCTGCATCATATGGTAGTTCTTTTAATTTTTTGAGGATCTTCTATACTGTTTTCCATAGTGGCTGTGCAAATTTACAATCCCACCAACAGTGCCCAAGTGTTCCCTTTTCTGTACAACCATGCCAGCATTTGTTACCTCTGGTCTTTTTGATGATGGCTAATCTAAGAGGTGTGAGGTGACATCTCATTGTGGTTTTGATTTGCATTTCCCTAATGACTAGTTGGCCGTGCCACTCAGCTTGCGGGATATCAGTTCCCCGACCAGGGATTGAACCCAGGCATGGCAGTGAAAGCCCCGAATCCTAACCACTAGGCCACCAAGGAACTCCCATGAATAGTGCTGTTGAACATCTTTTCAAGTACCTGTTGGCCTGTTGGCCTTTCGTATTTCTTTGGAGAAACATCTATGCAGTTCCTTTGCCCATTTTTAAATTGGATTATTTCCTTTTTTTGCTATTGGATTGTATGATTTCTTTATATATTTTGGATATGAACCCAGCAATCTGTACTTTTTTATTTATTTATTTATTTTATTAGTTTATTTTTGGCTGCACTGGGTCTTCATTGCTGCACGTGGGCTTTCTCTAGTTGCAGTGAGTAGGGGCTACTCTTCGTTGTGGTGCACGGCCTTCTCACTGCGGTTGCTTCTCTTCTTGCAGAGCACGGGCTCTAGGTGCGCGGGCTCAGTATTTGTGGCGTCCAGCCTCAGCAGTTGTGGCGCATGGGTTTAGTTGCTCCGCAGCATGTGGGATCTTCCTGGACCAGGGATCGAACCCATGTCCCCTGCATTGGCAGGCGGATTCTCAACCACTGCACCACCAGGGAAGTCCAGCAATCTGTGCTTTAACAAGCCCTCTGGTGCACACTAAAGTTTGAGAACCACTGGCATAAGGCAATGTAAAATGTAAAGGCAGGATTCAAACCATAGCATGATCTAAGCTAACATATACTGAGTGCTATGGTTTCCCAGGAGCTCATGTAATTTCCACAACCACCTTATGCTGTGTTGATACTATTGTTATTCCCATGTGACACGTCAAGAAATTAAGGTGCAGAGAGATGGAGAGACTTGCCTAAGATCATAGAGCTACTGAATAGCAGAGTTGGGACCCCAAAACCAGGTTTCTCCACTGCCAAAGCCCCTGCTATCAAGCACTGTGTCAGCACTTCTCCTGAGTGTGGGCCACAAGCATTACTGGTAGAGATGAGGTGGCCTCAGGCGGTAGTACCTGAATGTTCATTTTACCCTCCAACAGCTATGTATTTTTTTTAAATATTTATTTATTTGGCTGCGCCAGGTCTTAGTTGTGGCCTGCAGGATCTAGTTCCCTGATTAGGGATCTAGCCCGGACCCCCTGCGTTGGGAGCTCAGAGTGTTAACCACTGGACCACCAGGGAAGTCCTATGTATTTATTTTAATGTGTCATAGAAAAAATATATATAACTAGCATTCCAAACTCATGATTTCAATAGTAACATCGTTTCTCTTTAAAATGAGTGAATTTTATTAAAAATTAGTTGCGTTAATGAAAAGTATTTATTTGGCCATGCTGTGAGGCTTGTGAGAACTTAGTTCCCTGACCAGGGATTAAACCCAGGCCCTCAGCAGTGAGAGTGCTAAGTCCTAACCCCTGGACCACCAGGAAATTCCCTTTAATGAAAAAAAAATTTTTTTTTTAGCTGCACCACATGGGATCTTAATTCCCCGACGGAACCTGTGCCCCCTGCCGTGGAAGCACAGAGTCCTAACCACTGGACCGCCAAGGGAATTCCCAAAAAATCTTAATAAATGTACTGTTATGCACAGATATCGCAAATATGGTAGAGATGGTTAACAGTGAAGTATGGGAAATACTGCTAAGCCAACCTCAGTTACTTTAAAAATATATAACGATTTGTGTATTTTACTGTATATAAATAGTACCTTATTTTTTTAATTAATTAATTAATTTATTTTTGGCTGTGTTGGGTCTTCGTTGCTGCATGCGGGCTTTCTCTAGTTGTGGAGAGCAGGGGCTACTCTTCGCTGCAGTGCGTGGGCTTCTCATTGCGGTGGCTTCTCTTGTTGCAGAGCACAGGCTCTAGGCACGTGGGCTTCAGTAGTTGTGGCACGTGGGCTCAGTAGTTGTGGCTCACGGGCACTAGAGCGCAGGCTCAGTAGTTGTGGCGCACGGGTGTAGTTGCTCTGCGGCACGTGGGATCTTTCTGGATCAGAGCTCGAACCCGTGTCCCCTGCATTGGCAGGTGGACTCTTAACCACTGTGCCACCAGGGAAGTCCCTCTACAAGTCCTTTTTTAAGGTACTGTTGGGACTTCCCACATGCCATGGAGCAGCTAAGCCTGTGCGCCACAACTACTGAAGCCCGCACGCCCTAGAGCCCACGAGCCGCAACTACTGCTGAGCCCGTGTGCTGCAACTACTGAAGCCCGAGCGCCTACAGCCCATGCTCCGCAACAAGAGAAGCCACAATGAGAAGCCCTCGCACCACAACGAAGAGTAGCCCCCACTCGCCACAATTAGAGAAAGCCTGCGCGTGCAGCAACGAAGACCCAACGCAGCCAAAAATAAATAAATTTTTTAAAAAAGGGACTTGTAAAATAGACTGGATTCTAGGTAAAAATGTGCATGCTGAAGCATTTAGAGGGAGGTGTATTGCAGTCAACCTCCTACTTTGAAATGCATCACAAAAATAAGTTGAACTGGGCTTCCCTGGTGGCACACTGGTTGGGAGTCTGCCTGCCGATGCACGGGACACGGGTTCGTGCCCCCGTCTGGGAGGATCCCACGTGCCGTGGAGCGGCTGGGCCCGTGAGCCATGGCAGCTGAGCCTGCACGTCCAGAGCCTGTGCTCCGCAGCGGAAGAGGCCACAGCAGTGAGAGGCCCGCGTACCGCAAAAAAAAAAAAAAAAAAAAAAAAAAAAAAGTTGAACAAAACATTCATTGTAGAACCCAGGTGGTACCTACATCAATAATCATTGTGTAAGTTCTTTCAACTTCTCTGTAAGTTTGGAAACTTACGTGTTGGAGAAAAAATGCATACAGATTGTCCCACACAGTGAATGAATGAGTAAAGGAATAAAGGAATTAACAAATAAGCAAAGCCTCAAAGACTAGACAATTTGCTGAAAGACTTTCTTTACACGCTCCTGTATATATTCCAAAGTGAGCTTCCTGCTTTTATAATAGAAGAAAATGTTTTTTCAGAGAGAAAAATGGCACAAGAGTCAATTGATAAAATAGGCATTTATTCTGAAGGCATAATGCAAAGAAATTCCCCGAAAGCAGCTTGGGAGTGGAAGAAAACCGCTGCCCCTCCAGCAAAGGGGAACAGGACCTCAGCACTTTTCTACATCCCAGCTGGGGGCAGAGCTCACGGGTGGGCTCTGGGCCGTGGGCCTGGGGTCGGTCCGACCTGCCCGCCTGTCAGTGTGGGCCCAGGTCACTGTGTCCTATGCTCCAAGGAGTCAGAGTGTCAGGAGAGCTGGCAGAGGAAGTCGTGCAGAGGCAGGGCCAGGAGCCCTGACAGCGAGATCCCCAAGGTGTCCGAGATACAGGTGGTTGCCATGGCAAACTCCCGGTGCTCACTGCTGGTCTGGGGAGGGTGGGGAGCAGGGGTGAGGCTTCAGTCCTAGCTACCTCTGCCTGGCACTTTCCCAGAGAGGCCACCCACCCACAGCCCTCGACCGACTGGTGCTGACCTCCAGGGCAATGTTGTGAAAGGTGTTCACATAGGCTGCGCCCCCCAGGAGTCCCTCATACAGAATGATCAGGAAGATGAGGTAGATGCTCGGCAGGAAGCTCAGCCACACGTCCGCCAGCAGGAAGGCCAGGTTGAGGCACTGTGGGTGCAGGTGGAGGGGAGGGCTGAGCCTGGGACCAGAGGTGGGCAGGAAGGGAGGTGACATCCCGTCCAGTGGGCCCCGGTTCTGAGAGATGCTGATGAGGATGAGGGCTGACAGGCCTGGATCAAATCCCAACACCCAGCTGGCCTACCAGATCCTGGGATCTGGGGTAGGCCTTCTCCCTACTGCATCCCAGCATCCTAGACCTTGGGGGTCTCCTCCCCTCCTCCCTTTGCCCGTGTCACTCCTTCTGCCTGTGATGCTATCCCACCTTCCCCCACTTGGGCGCCCCTCGTCACCACCGTTGACAGCTCAGCTTGGATCAGGGTCACTCTCACTCCTATGATCTCATTCCTCCTCCCAGAGTCTTCCTGAATGGAGAGGTTCCCCTCTATTTTATCAAACTGAGGCTATGGTGAGACCAGAGGTTCTCAACTAGGCGTGACTTTGCTGCCTAGGGGACATTTGGCAACATCTGGAGATGTTCCTGGTTGTTACAACCGGGAAGGGAGGGTGTTACGGGCATGCAGTGGGCAGAGGCCAGGGACGCTGCTCAACATCCCACAGCTCACAGGACAGCGTCACAGCAAAGAAGGATCCAGCCCGGAATGCAATAACACCAAGGTTGAGAAACCGTGGCTTAGATGTCCCCACGCCATCTAAGAAGGCTCGCTGACCCCACCCAAGGGTGTACGTCCCTTTCTCTGTGCCCCAGTCCTTCAGGGGATCCCACTGTCCCGGTCCTCAGTGCACAGGGTTGCCTCCCCAGTGTGTAGGCCACCCCAGTGGTTCACATGCTTAATGTACACACAGATCACTTGCGGATCTTGTTACCTACACAGGCCTTGCCCTCAGAGGTTCTAATTCAGGAAGAGTGAGGTGGGCTCAGAGATCTGCATTTAAAAGAACACACCCTGGTAATACTAATATGACCCTAGAAACACTGCAGATGCTTTCATCTGGAGCATTAGGCCAGACACTTTCTGTAATGGAATTAAATGATTATAAGCTGCTAATTCTATGAAGCAACCTTGGTTAAAATTATAGCTAAAATCATAAGCTACACATTTCAGTGGCATCTAATGTAGAACCCTGAGTTAAGAATTGTTGATACAGGGACTTCCCTGGCGGTCTAGTGGTTAAGACTCCGTGCTTCCACTGCAGGGGGCATGGGTTCGATCCCTGGTCGGGGGACTAAGAACCCAAATGCCGTGTGGTGCGGTCAGAAAAAAAAAGAATTGTTGATACAATCTGGGACTTGGCGGGTACAAAGCCCTGGGGTGGCAGTCCTGCTCAGGCAAATAAGGAAGGAAGTTAGAGGATATCTGCCTGCTGTTGACATAACATTAAAGTGTCATCTACCATAATTCTCTATATTGTTATCACAGAATTGAATTATTGAAAAGGGCAAAAAACTTTCCTGTAAGAGTTGAAGCTTTATTTTAAAGGTGATTTTTTATATGCCCGTCTGGTCCCAAGATTATGGCCCAGAGGGATATTAGAGTCACCGAGAATAATTTGGAGGTTGCCAATGACTTGTTTTAAAGTGTTTTCAAGTCTGACCACCGAGAACTCTGACATTTAGAAACAAGTAAGAAGACGTGAATGTTTAAAATCATGTTCTCTTTCAAAAAAAAAAAAAAAAAAGAGTTGAAGTTTTTTTAATAGTTACCTTCAGTGGCCGTAGACATGTGACAATGAAACATGAATGCTGGTTAAGTAAAACTCCTTTTGTTAGACTGTTGTAGGTATTTTCGTTCATTTAAAGCTTAATCACTTACATGACCTTCGCCATGAATTTGCTCACCAGCCTTGAGATAAATAACCTGTTGACTCCAATGTCACTGATTCTATTGTAATTAACCATCCAGAATAAAAGAACTGAACATTTTCTTATCGTTGGAAACATTATTTGAAAGCCTGCCTCTCTGCATGAGGCTTGGGCAAATAATCATTAAATAAGTGCTTCTAGCTGATTAAGACACAATACAGATTCTTGTTCTTTCATTCTTCGCATTTCTATTTCTTACAACCATGCCTGATTTATACATGAGGAAACTGAGGCTCAGATGAGTTCCAGGACCTGCCCTAAATCACACAGCTACTGAGTACAGAAGCTGGGATCTGCATCCAGGTTTGCCTGGCTCCTGAGGCCACTCATTTTACACAGATCCCTGCTGGCCTCTGTTCCCCGTGCTTAGAACATGACAGTATGCAATCAATAACCCCTGCTGAGAGAGGGAAGCATCGGGGCCTAGGGAATCTGGGAGCCACGGCAGGTGGAGAGTGAGGGCCAGGGGCTCAGTACCTGTAGCAAGGCCAGGGCCCACGTGTGGCGGATGTGACAGCAGCGGAGAGAAGAGCGGGAGGCAAAGACGCCGGCCTGGTACAGCATCTGGTACCTTCAAGGGGGCAGGGAGTAAGAGGAAGCCCCTCTGGTGCCTACTCAGCAGGGCAGCCCCTCCCAACCCCAGTCCTTACCATCAAAGGCCCGCCCCCCAGCCCACTGCCGTGCTGCCACCCACCCTCAGTCTTCTCACCAGCGGTATTGCTGAGCGTGACTCAGGAACGTGTTCCGGAAGAAGAGGAGTTCAAACTGCAGCAAGGACCAGACGGGGGAGATGGACGGGGATGTGTGGGTCCCCACCCTCATCACTATTTCCACACCCCTCCCGGCAGCCCTCACTCACAAGTCCCTGGTTGATGAAATACTCAGCAAAGTAAACCAGCACCAAGGGGACGATGTAGCGCAGCAGGCCCTGGAAGGGTCAGGAGACATAAGCGGGAGGCTGGGAGATGAACACTGGCCGCAGGGGACACGCCAGAGCCACCGTCCGTACCTTAAACACGGTCCACCTTTCCTGAAGGGACAGGTGTGAGCTGGAGCCTGCAGGGGTCAGGGAGAGAAGGGCAGGTGAGGTCGGCACACTGACTCAGAAAAGGGGTGCTGGTGTGCAAGAATCAGCCAGCCAACACAGGAGTGTGAAAGCACATACGCCACTGGACTGTACAATTAAAAATGGTTAAATTGGTAAACTTCATGGTATTGATACTTTACCATGATTAAAAAAAAAAGTAACTAGATGAGACTTCTTCATGGTTCTTGTACAGCCTGATGGCGGTACACCCCTACCCAGCCACAGTGGGCCCTTCTTTCTGGTTTTGAACACCCAAGCTCATTTCCACCACAGGGCCTTAGCACTTGCTCTTCCCTCTACCTGAAACCTGTTCACCTGGATGTGCACAGGGCTGACTCCTTGTCATTCATATTTCAGCCCAATGAGATGTCCTCAAAAAGGCCTTCACTGACCACCTTCTCTAAATAGAACCACTTTCCTCCCCCCATCTGTCATTTCTTGCTTTTTTTTTTTTTGGCCGCACTGCACGGCATGTGGGATCTTAGTTCCCCAACCAGGGATCAAACCCGTGCCCCCTGCAGTGGAAGCTCAGAGTCCTAACCACTGGACCACCAGGCAAGTCCCCCCATCTGTCATTTCTAAGCACATCACTCTGTTATGTTCTTCTAGTACTTATCAACGTGTGAAAACAACGTGCTTCAGATTCTGTTATTTGTTTATGAATGGTATAACACATAGTCAGTACTCAGTGAGTATTTCCTGAGTAGATGAATGTGATCGGCTCTCACCATAACCAGCACGCCTATCCACTCCCTCTTCTGACTGCCCACAGTAGAGAGGAAAAGGCTGAAACTCAGAGAAAGTGACCGCTCTGACGGTCACTGTGTCTCCTACCTGGCTTCCACTCTGGGGCCTCGCTGTTTATCAGGGGCTGCCGGGCTGCCGTGTCTGCCTCCCCTTCCCCTCCAGGGTCCTGGGGCCCAGGAGACGTGAGCAACAAGAAATAGCTGGAAGTGGGAAGAATGAAAAGAAGATTGAAGAGCCTCTGTCAGGCTGGAAAGGCCACTTCTTCCCAGGGCAGCCCCCCTCATTCCTCCTCTCCGCCAAGGCCCTCCATCCTTGGCCAGAGAACTCCAACTGCGCAAAAATGCTTCTTTCTCTGGAACTGAAATGTATCTCCTTGTTGTTTCTAATCCATGGGCCCTCGTTTTGATTCCTGGCTCACGCCAAGCGTGTCAGCCCTGTTTTCTTGTTGTTGTTTTTCTAATAATCGCTCTAGCTACCATTTATCACGTGTTCATTTTGTGCTAGGCCAGAAGTTTCCAAAGTTTGGTCACTTACGTTTTGCCTTCATGACATTTGCCATATCCACATTCTCTCTGTGTATAATATTTTTTATTTAATATTTCCCTTTCAATTGATTCACTTTTTCTACACGGCCTTATCCTAAGCGATAATCTGTGAAATCACAGGTTTGGTCGACCAATTGAAACTTTTCCTAATTCACATGAAAATACACACAAAATGAACAGAGTCTATCCTTGCCCCCTCATTGTGGGAACCACACTGTAATGAATGCTTCACGCATGTCACCGCACGGGGAAGCAAGGAAAGCCACCATCATTTGAAATATGGGAAAACTGAGGGTCAGAGACGTAAAGTAACTCGTCCCATACAACACAGTTATCAAGTGGCAGCCCAGAACTCAGACTCGGGCCTATTGGAGTCCAGAACCCACATCCCCCCACATGGCTGTAGGGATCTGAAGATTGGGATCGTGCAAGTTCTCTCTCCTCGAATCCCTCTTCCTCCCAGCCCAGGCCGCTTACCTGGCCAGCAGCAGTGCGGGTATACCCAGCATGGACAGCAGGGTGTGCTGGGGAGAGAGGCCAGCCTGGGTGAGGCCCAGGTAGGACAGTGCCCCCAGCAGCCCTGCTCCGCCAGTACCTGAGGACCACCAGGAGATCACAGCCCTGAGAAGGAGAACACAGTAGCCCTAAGAAGGACCAAAGCCAGCAGTGGGAACCCCTCCCCTCACTCCCTGCTCTGCCTGCTTACCTGGGGTAGAAGGCGGTGAGTGAGAGGAAGGTGACCTCCCCCAGACCTGAAGAGATGCTAGCCAAGACCACACCTGGAGAAGGACAAGCACGGCCATACCTACCTAGCCTTTCCCCAATAGCCTCAATTCCCTAAGGGGTGTGGCCACAGCCTCCTCTGCATCTGCACAGAGGGGCTAAACACAGATCCCTTGGATAGGCTGGGCTCCAGATCTGAAGTAGAACCAACCCCTTCCTCTGCATGTCCTCTCATAGGGAATGGTACCTCCATCCGCCCAATTATCAAATCAGGAGTAAGAATTCATTCTTTTTTTTGGCCGCACCGCAAGGCTTGCGGGATCTTAGTTCCTCGACCAGAGGTTGACCCCAGGCCACGGCAGTGAAAGCAGCGAGTTCTAACCACTGGACCGCCAGGGAATTCCCAAGAACTCATCTTTGATGCCTCCTCCACCTCCATCACAGACGCTTGGGACTGCTCATCTTGATCTCCATCTGATCTGTCCATTTCCTCCCATCTTCCCCACCGCCTACCCCTCCAAATCGACCTCACCTCCCGTTCCCTATTGTGACAGTCTTAGCATGCTTCTCGGGGGTTACAAAAATAATCCCTCTCCTCTGGGAAGCTGAGGAGATTACCCCACCAATGCTCTGTTGTAGTTCCTTTGAACCCCCCACCTGACACAAAACCTCACACTCACCACACAGGCTGATTCCCACCGAACGAGAAAAGGCAACCAGGATGAAGCTTCCAGCAGCACAAACCCCACTGGTGAGCACCCGGGGGCTGAAGGGAGATATGGGCCGGGGGGGACGGTCAGCTGCCATTCTCAGCTCCCCAGCCCTCTCGCCACCTCCTCTGCCCTCCCAGCCTCCCCACTGTCAGATCCCACCTGCCTTTCCTCCCACCACCTCCACCCAGACCTGTAGGGCAGCAGATGAAGGCCAAGAGGAGCCAGCAATTTGATGACGAGGGTGGGAAGGATGTCTGCCAGGAGCACCGCCTGGGACAGGAGAACAGAGTGAGACCCCAGACTTTCCCAGGGACAACCCTCCCAACCAAGTGGCCAAGGAAAGATAGAAACCAGCCCATTAGACTGCTACAAACACAGGCTCTGAAGTCACACAGATCTGAGTTCCAGTCCCAGGTCTGCCTCTCCTTAGCTGTGGGTCAAGGTATTCACATTCTCTGAGCTTCAGTCTCCTTATTCGGAAAACGGGGATGATTACAGAGCCTAACTCAGTACTGTTGTATGGATTCAATAAGCTAATATACGCTGCACACAGAAAGGGCTCAGTAAATGGCCGTCTTAATTAGTGGAGTCATGATAGTACCAGCTGGGTGCTGAGGGGGTGTGGGTGGGGTCTACAGACCCAGAGTAAGGGTAAAGGGAGGACCAGATGGGTACTCACAGCTGTGGAGACAGAATTGCAGTCAAATCGAGATGAGCTATTATGGGAGGTGGGTGTTGGGTCTGGGTCCACCTGATGGGAGACAAGAAAGTCTTTCACCCAGGGAGGCAGGAGGGCAGACAAACAGGGCCGGGCTCCATTCCCAGCTCTGCTCTAACTTGAAGGATGGCCTTGGGTTAGCACTGGCTTCTTAAGACCTCAGTTCCTCTATGTGCACAAGGGGGAAGGGGAGGTTTCCATAGAAGTCTCAAACTAATGGTCCACACACCAAAGATGGCCTTGTAAGTGACTTTATTTGGGTAACACACTCGGGAACTTTCATTTAAAAAATTTGGGTTTCCAGAAAAATCTATTCTTGGACCAAATTCCCTGTTGGACCTGCAAGGTGGTAGCTGTTCCCCTTGGGCCTGCATCCTCCAGCTCATCATAGACAAGAGGTTCTCAATCAGAGATGATTATACCCTTCAGGGAACATTTGGCAATGTCTGGAGACATTCTTGGTTGTCACAGCTGGAGGCTGAGGGATATGCTATTGTCATCCAGTGGGCAGAGGCCAGAGATGCTGCTAAACATCCTACAATGCACAGGAAAGTCACACAACAAAGAATTATCCAGCCCAAAACATCAACAGTGCTGGAGTTAAAAAACCATGCCTCAGGGCTTCCCTGGTGGCGCAGTGGTTAAGAGTCCGCCTGCCAGTGCAGGGGACACAGGTTCGAGCCCTGGTCCGGGAGGATCCCACATGCCGCGGAGCAGCTGAGCCTGTGCGCCACAACTACTGAGTCTGTGCCCTGGAGCCTTCAAGCCACAGCTGCTGAAGCCCGCGCACCTAGAGCCTGTGCTCCGCAACAACAGAAGCCGCTGCAATGAGAAGCCCGTGCACAGCAACGAGGACCCAACGCAGCCATTAATTAATTAAAAAAAACAAAAAAACATGCCTTAGACTATAGTCCCACCCGGCCAACGTTTGAGTTTGCAATTGCTTTACAAGAACAAATTGATTCTTAAAGACGCTTCCTGTTCTCAGGTCTGGGAACTTTAGCCATCTCGCCCCACCCCTTAGCCACCTCATTCCATGAACTTTTCAAGTGGGTTTCTGCCCAAGGGTGAGTCCCTCATCTTCCCATAGGGACTAAACATGGTGGTGGTGGTAGAGAGGGTCACTTACATGGCTCTGGTTCCCAGGTGCTCTCTGGTGACTGAGGATGTCGTGGGCAGCACTGAGCATCACCACGTAAGAGAAGTTGTTGCAGAGGCCCAGGAGCCTGGAGTGAGCAGGACAGATCCCCCCACCCCCCAGTTTTATTGAGATATAATTGACATAGAAGAATAGACATATAATTATATACAATCTATCCACAGTCCTAGCACCAAACCTCCCCCTTTCCTGTGCCTTCTTTTTTCTCTGTCGCCAGACCCCATCCCCATTTAGTGAGAAGGTTAGAAATACAGGCTTTGGGACAACAAACTTAGGTTCATATCTAATCTCTGAGACCTCTCCCAGGAAGAGAAGGAAGTTATCCTTGATGACTCTCTCCTCTAAGCTCCCACCATGATTCAGTTCCCGGGGCATTTCTCATCCACTGATCCACTGTCTCTGACTGTGGTATGGCAGAAAGATACTGGGGGCTTGAAATCCAAAGGACTATGTTCAGGTCCCAAGTCCGCCACTTCCTACTTGAGTGGCCTCGGTCTACTCATGTGTACAATGAGGATTCAGACTTCTCTCCTGACTATCTCACAGAGTGCTGTAGAGATCAAAACAAGATAATACCCTACATGATCTATGAAGGATCTGGTTCACTTATTCTCATCTCCCAGAGCTGCCATCAGTGATGGGAAGGGAACAGGACCCAGCCCCAGGGTATCATGTGTCCTTTTCACAAGCCTCTGAAGTGGTACTGCTGCTCTTCCCATATTACTGCTGAGAAACTGAGGCTCAGAGAGAGAGCCTCACTTCCAACCCAATCTGTTACCCAAGTCCTTGATGTTTAGGTTAGCGCTAGAAGTATTTCCCAAAGCTCAGTATTTGAATTATTTTAGGAGGTAGATGGATGACTTTTAAAAGGTAGTGATGCATTTATTTAAATGTGCATTAGGAAAATACTGGCTTTCCGTCCAGAGTAGTGATTTACAGTTTTCTTTTAAACAGTACATGTATTTACAAATTTAAAGGCTGAGTTGGCTCTCCAAAATATACAAGCAGCTCATACAGCTCAATATCAAAAAAACAAACAACCCAGTCAAAAAATGGGCAGAAGACCTAAATAGACATTTCTCCAAAGAAGACATACAGATGGCCCAAACACATGAAACAATGCTCAACATCACTAATTATTAGAGAAATGCAAATCAAAACTACAGTGAGGTATAACCTCACACCGGTCAGAATGGCCATCATCAAAAAATCTACAAACAGTAAATGCTGGAGAGGGTGTGGAGAAAAGGGAACCCTCATACCCTGTTGGTGGGAGTGTAAATTGATACAGCCACTATGTAAAACAGTATGGAGGTTCCTTAAAAAACTAAAAATGGAACTACCATATGACCCAGCAATCCCTCTACTGGGCATATACCCAGAAAAGACCATAATTCAAAAAAACACATGCACCCCAATGTTCATAGCAGCACTATTTACAATAGCCAGGACATGGAAGCTACCTAAATGTCCATCAATGGAGGAATGGATAAAGAAAATGTGGTACATAATTACAATGGAATATTACTCAGCCATAAAAAGGAACGAAATTGGGTCATCTGTAGAGATGTGGATAGACCTGGAAAGTGTCATACAGGGTGAAGTTAAGTCAGAAAGAGAAAAGCAAGTATCATATAATAACGCATGTATATGGGATCTAGAAAAATGGTATAGGTGATCTTATTTGCAAAGCAGAAATGGAGACATAGACGTAGAGAACAGATGTATGGATACCAAGGGGGAAAGGGGTGGGGAGGCAGGAACTGGGAGACTGGGATTGACACATATACATTATTGATACTATGTACAAATAGACAACAGATGGGAACATACTGTATAGCACAGGGAACTCTACCTAATGCACTGTGGTAACCTAAATAGGAGGGAAGTCCGAAAGAGAGGGGATATCTGTATGTGTATGTCTGATTCATTTTGTTGTGCAGTGGAGGCTAACACCACATAGTAAAGCAACCATACTCCAATAAAAATTAATAAAATAAAATAAAATCCTCAAACATGGCAAGGCGCCTGCTATCAGCCCATTTTACAGCGGAGGAAACGAAAATTCAGAGAAACTAAAATCAAGAAGATAACCGATGACATTGAGATTTGTCTAGAAATTAAATGATTTGTTACCGATATTCATCTCAGAAACGGTCACACAGAAAATTTCAGAGACACGAATTCTGAATTTGAATAGATATTATTTTCATGAAAAAATAAAATAAAGGCTGAGTTGGTTGGAGTAAAAACATGAAGAAAAGATCCCTGCAGGTCATATGAGAAGCTGGCCCAAAGGGGAAGGTGATAAGGGAATGAGCGAAATTTGGGAAATTTACACACGGCCTCAGGGCAAACCAAGCGGTTCAGTAAATATTTTGTGGATTCAGCTCCTTTTTGGAAGCTCAACTCTCTTTTCTCACCCCTCTTGTTGCTTCCCTCTTCCCACCCTATTCAGGCCACTCACCAGAAGCCCACCGCGTTCTTCCAATGGGTCCCCTGACGGTCCTGCGGCGGGGGCCTAAGTGCCGGATTGGCCTCCTCTCCTGGAAGGGGGAAAAGAAGAGGGCCTGACCCCCCCCCCCCCTCAGGTGCACGATGGGCCAACGGGCGTTCTCCCGGGACCGAGGAAGTCAATCCCGTGAGGGTGGGCAGAAATACTCACCCTCCGAATCCGAAAGGCGCCGCCCCGCACAGCCTCCCATGGCATCAAGTTCAGGTCCCCCGAGGGGTCCAGAGTCAGCGAGAGTTCAGAGTTGGCTCCGATGAGGCGGATGAGGGTCTACGACAGGTGAGAGGGATCAACGTCCCATTGCCGGTCCCAGCTCCGGCTTCTCCGCTGCCCTGGCGCCTCTACGAGCCACGGCCCTAACCCCAGCCTCCATCTTGCGCCCTCGTACGCCCCACCACGCCCCACCCGTCGGACTCTGCCCCCGCCCCCTCTAAAGCAGGGGGCCCTGCAGCCTGTACCTTTAAGAGCACCTAAACATTCCGCACTCAGCAATGACGGATCACGTGACAGCACCTGTCGGTCCCTCATCACGTGCTTGAAGGTCCTCACCACTTCCGGGTCTTTTCTCGATCTTCTCTTTAGACCTACCCAGTTTCGGGGCAGGGGACTGAGAGAGGCTGGAAGAACCCTGGAACCACCGGTTCAAAACTGGGATAGGTAGGATCAGCAAGAAGAACCATGACGTTAGTTGGGGACGCCCAAGGCCGTGATCTACCGTACCAGCACTAATCATGGCTGCAAATGGCTTCAGCTCCTCTGCAACTGCCAGAAATAAATATGGCCACCTGCCTAGCCGGTACTGTTTCTGGCTGACAACAAAGGCAGCCAGCTTCAGGTCATTCTTATTTCTATCTGTTGTTGCCTTTAGATTGCTTTAGAAACTGCACATAAAGATAACACCCACCTAAAAAGATTTCATGAATTGTCTGTTGGCAGTATCCAAGGTGGTTAACAGAGCCCCTTTCTCAAATTATCTTAGAACCAAAGTAGTAGTTCAACCCTGGTTTTACAGATGAGAAAACAAAAAAGGAAATTTACTGATGAACATACAACGTTAGACCTAAAGGTGACCTTAGAGACTCGGCAATAAGAAATAGAGCACCAGGGCTTCCCTGGTGGCACAGTGGTTGGGAGTCCGCCTGCCGATGCAGGGGACGCGGGTTTGTGTTGTCCGGGAGGATCCCGCATGCCGCGGAGCGGCTGGGACCGTGGGCCATGGCGGCTGGGACCGTGGGCCATGGCCGCTGGGCCTACGCGTCCGGAGCCTGTGCTCCGCAACGGGAGAGGCCGCAGCAGTGAGAGGCCTGCGTAACGCAAAAAACAAACAAACAAACAAAAAAAGAAATAGAGCACCAGAGGCAGGGGTGCTGGCTGCTGCAGGATTCCTGCCTGCATTAAGTGTGCTTAGACCAGATGATTCTAAGGCCCAAGATTCTGATTCTGTGATCTCATCTAGTTCCTCTAATTGGAAATTTGGAAAGTGAGGCTCAGGGAGGGGACCCAAGGAAAAGGTGTCGATTAAGGTCACTTCACAAAGTCCCAGATAAGGAGCGATTATTTTCTTACCTTCCTCTAGGTGGTAAAGCAACATCCTGAATTTTCTTCATCACGTCTTTCCCCTGCTAATCTCTCTTGTGGGCTTCCAACAGTCAGTGCCCACCTCTCCCAGCTCTTTCTCACCACCAGGCCCTCAGACTGCTGTTTGAAATGTACCCCCTTTGGTCTGCTTCCCAGATCACTCAACCAATGAAAAACGGGATCCTACTACCCATGCCGGGCTCTAGAAATTCAGCAACGTGTCATACATGGCCTCCACCTTCAAGGAACTCAAAGGAGGCTGGGAGGTAGACGTGAATAACCACAGTACAAAGTTTAGCCAAGTTTCGTTTCGCAAGAATGAGTACAGGTGAGGGAATGGGCATTGGAGCCACCAATCCAGCCCCTTCTTCCTCTTGGGGAAGCATTAATGACCCTGAAATGAGAAGCCAGAGCTCTTACCAGCCCCCTCCTCATTCCTACTCCTTGTCCCCAGGCAAAACAGGAACCACAAACCCCAGCTTCCTCTCACAGAGAGGCTGTGGCTTTGGGGGGAGACGGAAACGGCTGAGGTGTAAATACAAGACCTGAGTCACTTGAGCTGCAGTTGACACATGCCCCTCCCCCCTCCCCAATTCTGAGGTCTCCTGCTCCCGCTCTTTCCTTTCGGTCCTCCTCCCTTGCCCTTTAGCTCCGAATGTACACCACCTGAGTCCCCTGTGTGATATACACCCACTTCCCAGCCTGGGCTGGAAGCAGCTGTGGGCATTGCAGAAGGTGGGCAGGGCTCGGGGTGGGGATGCGTCAGGGAGAGACAGGGGAAGAGGAAGTGTCTTGGGTCCTGGGGAAGACTGGCTTGGTGGGTGGGGACAATCATTGTCAGCTTTCTGGACACACAGACAGAGACAGACAGGATGGATTTCCTCCGGCTACATCTCCCTGGGCTGCATCAGGCCTTGAGGGGGGCACTGGTGAGAGGGGCAAAGAGAGGCCAGAGATTTTCACCCTGCTCCCCGGGGCCTCACCTTCCCTTCTCCCTTTGAGCTTCTCCTCAGACTCAAGATTCCTTCCCCACAATCAGGCAGCCTGCTAGCCCGATCTTCTCTGGATTTCAATCCCCTCATCTCCACAAACACATCCACACACCTCTAATCTAGGCCGTTTCCTGCTCCTTCTGCAGATTCTGTCCCCCTCCTCCTCCTAGATCCTAGAACCCCTCTTCCTTCTCCCGAGTCCCTCTGGCCCAGGGCCCCGAGGGAGAGGGCTGGGCTTCCTCTTAATACCTTTGTCCCCATCCCTCTTTTCTTCTAGGAGTCTTTCAGCACCTTTGTCTCCTACCTTATGGGAGATGATGTCCCCACTGCAGAGAGGAGGGAGGCGTGTGCAGCTGAGGAACTGGGGGAGGTGGCTGCAAGAAGCCTTGGGGGGAAGGTAGAGGAGGAAGGCCAGGAGGCCGTGGAGGGCCTTGGAGGCAGCCAAAGCAAGGGGGATGGAGGGCTGAGAGGGCCTGGAGAGGCTGGAAGGTGCCAGGAGGAAAGCTCAGCTACAGAACAGACCTGGGGTGGCAGACAAGGCAGCTCCCATGGGTCTCAAGCAGATAGGCAGGACACTGGGGCCTGGGAGGCAGCCACGGCCACGAGATGCCAGCATTCAAGTATCCCCCTGGAGCCCAGAAGGAAATCTGAGGCAGGGTCTGAGGCTGGTCGAGACAGGAGTAGCCAAGCCCAGGAGAGTCAGCAGCCCGATGAGCAGGAAGTAAAGAGAGAGGAGACACTGAGAACCTGGGAACGGGAGGAGGAGGAGGAAGAGGTCAGGGCAACAGAGCCAGGGGTGGCTGGAGGGGCGGAGTCAGAAGGGACCTGGCACAAGGAGCTTGAGCGGACGGCGAGTGTTGATGGGCAAAAGGTAGCAGAGGACAGAAAGGAATCAGAGCAGGGGGTTGATGAGACAGCTGCAGAGGAGATCCGGGGGCCTGGGGCCAAAGGGGCTGGGAGGGAAGAAGAGGTGGTAGTAGTAAGGGGTGGCCGAAGCACAAGGGCACAGGGGACACAGGAGCCAGGGGCAGAATCTGAGGACAGGGAAACCTCAGGCAGGGAGCAGGCTGACCTCCCAGGGGTTGGGGAGACTGAACATGGGGCAGTCCCAGGAGAAAGGATCCCAGAGGGTACTGGGAGAGTCTGGGCCCTAGAGGAGACCTCCAAGGGAGGCCAGGAGGAGGAGGAGGTAGATGAGAATAGAGAGGTTGAAGTGAGCCTCTTCCCCAAACAGACCCAGGCCCTGGGAACCGAGAGAGTGGAAGAAGCGGCCGAGGACCAGGCAGCAGGGAGGGAAGCTGAGGAAGGTCAGGAGTCAGAGGCGGAGGGAGGGGAGGGCTTTGAGGGCCAGGCAGATCAGGCTGAGGGAGAGGCTGTGGAGAGGCAAGACTCAGAGATCAGGGCTGCTCAAACCAGTCTCCAGGAGGTGGTGCAGGCAGAGGAGGCCGAGCAACAGCAGAAGAGTTGCTGGGCTGCAGAGGCTGAGCTGCTCCAGGACAAAGCAGCAAATGAGGCTGAAGGTGACGTTGACTTGGAGGCAACGCCAGAGGCCAGGCCCAAGAAGGAGTTCAGCAGGGAGAGGGGTGAGGAAGAGGCTCAGGCCAGGGGAGAAGCACTGGAGGTGGGGTGGGGTGGCCTTGAGCACAGGGTCACTGAAGGCCAAGAACCTGAGCTGGTGGGAGGCCCCCAGACCCCCACAGAGCAACTTGAAGAAGGGCAGGCATGTAAGGAAGAGCTCTGCAGCATTCCAGCCCTGAGCAGGGAGGAGACAGAGAGGAGCCTGGAGGAATATCCCAGGAACGTGGGGTATGTAGAACCTAACAGCTCTGTGGCGGAAGCCTGGGAAGACAGAAGAAGGGATGTGGAGAGAGGGAACACCCAGGAGGAAAAAGCAGATGCTGAAGAGGGGAAGGAGGAGGCTACAGGAGGCCAGGCACCAGTGGCGGAGGCTGAAGGAGGCCGAGAGTCTGCACGACCAGAGGTCCCAGAGGCAGGTGGGGAATGGATGAAAGCACAGGAAGCCTGGCATGGAGCAGAGGAGGGGGAGACCCCTGGAGCAGAGAACCAGGAGCTGGGTGGAAGGCAGGGAGCAGAAGCAGGGACCGTCCAGTCATTGGGAGAGTCAGACGCCACAGAGACCAAGGAGGAGGAGGTGGAGGCCACCGTGCCCTGGGGGGCAGACAGAACATCCGGGAGCGGCTGGAGGCTGGAGGCGGAGGCTCTGAGTCTCCAGGACAGCAACGACGTGGAGACAAATCCTTTGGCTAACGAGATCGTAGAGGATAAGGCAGCTCTGGATGGAAGGGCTCCTGGGACTGGGGACAGGCCCGGCAGAGAGGCTGAGGAAGCATTCGGGAGAGACTGGGATTCAGAAGGGAGGGAGGAAGCCAGCGGAGGTGAGGACCTGGTAGTGGCTGCAGAGGGGGAGAAAACAGGTGGGCAGGAGTTTGGCCTGGAGGGCTCAGCAGGGGAGGAGGCGCCTGGCAGAGGTGGCCAAGCAGAGGCTTCTGAGGCCCCTCGGGAGGGTGAGCCCGGGGGACAGCAGGCTGAGGTGGAGGAATCCGCAGTAGCAGAAGGAAGCTGGGGGATGGATGGCGTTACCTCGGGCTCCCAGGTGGTGAGGGTAGAGGGCCTCCCAGGAGGGCACACACTGTGGGAAGAAGAGGCTGGAGGATGGCAAGGGACAGAGCAGGGGCAAAGCAGTGAGGGGCAGCACGGGGACAAGCACCCCGAGGGAGAGGCACAAAGGCCCCTTGCGGTGGAGGATATCGAGGTGACTGGAGACCAAAAGGCAGAGGCTGAGGAGATTGACCGAGAAGGCCTGGAGGGCGTCCAGGGCCAAGAGGACCAGTCAACCAACCAGGACCCTGCAGAGGCTGAGCCTGGACCATGCGGGGATGCTCACAGCAGCTGGAGTGAGGTGAGGGCTCCAGGTAGGGTCCTGGGCTGGACAGAGCAGAATCTCGAAGCTGAAGCCGGCCCCGTGGTACCCCCCGTGCCCTCTTCCCCGTAGGCCCTGCTCCCCGGGGCTCGCCTGGACGTCTCTGTCCCGAGGAGCCGAGCCCTCCTCTCCCGCAGCTCCTCACAGCGCCGCTCCCGGCCCTCTTTCCGACGGAACCCCGCCCCTGAGCAACCGCAGGAGCCTCCCAGCCCCCCACCGGAGGAAGAGCTGGTGGCCCCCGAACAGAGACTTCTCGAGCCAGAGCACGCCCCGGAGCCAAGCTCCTGCAGCCCTGAAGGGACTCCATTGCCTGCCAGAAGGCCCCTGGGACAGAGGTAAGCACAGGGGGAGGTGACCGGCCTGGGATGGGGAGGAGGCTGACGGCATCTGGACACCAGCTCCCACGGCCTGTCTTCCGTCTGCAGGTTTGGCCTGGCACACCCTGGCATGATGCAGGAGCTGCGAGCCAGGCTGGGCCAGCCAAAGCCCCAGTGACTGGGACGTGAGGCTCAGAAGGCTGGGTTGAACCCTGCTCAGCCTGACTCCCTCTGCCGCTTTGGACGCATCCTTTCCACCCTCTGGGCCTTAGTTTCTTGGTGTGTCATTCACGGAGCAGACAGAACCAGATGTCTGCGAGAACCATGAACTTAAGGAGTCTGACTCTCCAATGTGGCTGGTGGACCACTGCCCCGCTGGGGTCATCTCTCTCTGATGGCCTGCCTTGCCTACCTCCCCAACCTGTCTCAGCTGCTTGGAGGACGGAGCGAGGACAGAGACAGTTCTCTCCACAGCCTTCCCCCTCTACTGTGCCCACTCCTTGACCCCCCCCCGGATTCTCAACCCCCCATCAGGCCCTGGAGAGCTGTGTAGGACTAACGCAAACCTCTGAGGTTGAAGCCGGCCTGGAGGAAGAGGTCAGGAGGGCCGGTGGCGCTCCATTTGCAACCAAAGAGAAGCAGACCAGCTGCCTTGAGCTTCCAAAGTGGGAGCTCGGTCTCAGAACTCTGCTGGTTACTACGGCAGCCACCAGCTGAACAAGCCAGAGTGGGGGAAGGTGGGCCAGGAACCCCAAAAATGTAAGATCAGAGAGGAGTCCAGGGTAACCAGAAGCCGCAGACTCTGTTCCAGGGCCCCTTTGCGTGTCGGGACCCCTTCTCTGAAAAGAAGCCGAGGCAGAGAGAGGGCGAGAGTGCTTTATTAGGCACCCAGCGTGGCAGCCTAGTCTGAGGATGACCAGCAGGTCCGCGAAACAATAAATAAACCATTTTTCTAAACAATAAATAAATATCTAAGAAATAAATATCTGGCAAGGACTGGAGGGGCCTTAAGTTATTGGATAGGGTCTGGGGCAGGAGAACAGTGGAGTCGTGCCTTGTCTAAGGCAGATGAGCCGGAGCCTGTTGCTGGCCCAGACTCCAGTCCTCAAGTCCTGATGGGTGGAGGGAAGGGGCTAAGAAGTCACCCTCCATCAGGGCTGGGAGCTGGGTGTGGGGAACTCCAAGGCCTGGGCTGGGTTCCCGGCCTGGGAGAGCAGCAGCAGGTCCCTCACCGCCCGAGACAAGACAATTTCCAAGGAGTGTAGCGACTGGTAGGTGTAGAGGAGCCGGGGCCAGGACACCTGGGCTGACATCTGCAAGGGGCCGCCCGGAGCCCCTGGGAGCAGCCCCTCCCCCTCCTCATTCTCCTCCTCCTCAGGGAGGTTGAATCCTGCAGCCAGCACCTGTGGGGAGAGACCCATGGGTCAGAGAATGGCCCGCCTGAGACCCTGAATGAATCCTTGTTCCTTTATGTGCCCAGTGGTGCAGAATGACATCAGAGACCACAAGGGCATGGTTTCCCTGGACAACCCCTACTTCGCATCCTCCATTATGTCATCGTTTCATGTGAACTGCCTGATTTTGTTTTTGGTTCAAATAAATGGAAGTCACAGAGCAAGATGGTGCTCATGGAGCTGGCTCTCACTCATCCAGGACTGCCCGGGGGACTGGGGACTCTGGAAGGTCCTCTCTTTCTCTCGCTCTCTTTTTTTTTTTTTTTTTTTTGCTGTGCCATGGGGTTTTCGGGATGTTCCCCTACCAGGGATAGAACCTGGTCCCTGGCAGTGAAAGCCTGGAGTCCTAACCACTAGGCCACCAGGGAACTGGAAGTTCCTCTCTTAAGCGTCGTCTTAAGATCAGAAATGGGCAGAAAGGTGATATGGTTAGTTTTTATGCTGTTTTCATTTTCTATTCTTTTATTAAGGGTAAAATTCCTGTTTCCCTTTGAAATGTTCAGGAGAATCTGGTGATGTCAGAGGATGAGGGAGAAGGGAACGTGCTTTGTTTGCTGTAGGGCCTGCTGATGCCAGATGCTGTCCTGGCTTCTCTCATTTAAGACCAAGACCCCAAGAGAAGGCAGAGGTTCAGGGGGCAGAGGTAGGACCTGGTACACCTACACACACACACACACACACACACACACACACACACACACACACACACACACACTCAGAGGATCTGAGCATCTCCTTCCAGACTTATCCTACCTCTGGGCAGGGGCTGTTTTCAAAGGGAACCAATGAGCCTCAGTTTTGAGTGTTCATCTCTGGGGGTCGAGGAGGGTGGGTGGGCACTCTACCTGGAAGCGGAGATGCTGCTGCAGATCTCGGAGATCCAGCCTCATGGCCCACAGCTGCAACCTCTCTGAACTGGTCCAGAACCCCTGGCTCCCCAGCCCTCCCAACAGGGTATGGAAGGGGTGAAGTGTCATGGAGAGGAAGCGGAGTCTTTCTGGGTCCTGTGGAAGGGGAGGGAAGGCATCAGGAAAGGCCTGCAGGCCAAGGATGACCCACTTCAAACCCAACCTCATCTGTATTTGGGTCCATTCCCAGCATGAACTCCAATCCCCATTCTGTCCCCATATCTATTCTCATCCTTAACCACATCTCCATCCCTACTCCCTTCCTATGTTCATCACCATTCCCATCTCCACTGTGTCTGATCTCTATCCTATCTCCTTTTCCAACCTCATTTTCAGTCACACCCGAGCTCATCTCCAACCCCCAACCCCATCTCCATCCTTCTGTCACTCTCTACCCACAACCCCATTCCATTCCCTTCTCTACCGCCCCGCCCCATCTCCATCTCCTCACTTGTTTTCATTCTGTCTTCAACTTCTTTCCCATCCTTGTTCCCATGCTTATCCCAATTCCATCCCTCTTTCTTGTGTCCAGCCTCAATGTCACCATCTCTCCATCCCATCTCCAACTCTACCCAACCCCATTCCATTCCCATCCTCACCAGCGATCCCCATTCTTTCTCTATCCCCCACTTCATTTTCACTCTCATCCCCAACCTTCTTCCCATCCCTAACCTCTTACCATTCTCACTCGTAATACCAGCTCCACGCCTCCTCCATACTAACCTCTAACCTCAACCCCATTCTGTTCCCATCCCCACATCTTTCCTTGCTCAGCTTCATTCTTACCTTCTTCCTAATGCCATTTCTTTATTCCAGCCTCATCTTTATATTCAGTGACCTACCCAGCCTCATCCAGATTCTCTCCCTCAATTTATCCCCAAATCCATCTTCAATTCAATCCCCAACTTTATCTCCATGCCCCCAGCCCAGCCTTATTGCTAGTTTGCCTGTCCCACCCCGCCAGTCCGCCACTCACAGAGAGGCCACGCCAGGCCTGGAAGGTCAGGGAAACGTTGGGGAGCTGCTCTCCCAGGGGCAGAAGGTCCAGGTTCACTCCTGGCAGGTGAGATTCAGCCTATGGGGCAAGGTCTTTTAGTGGGGGCCCGAGGGGATTGGAGATCTTCCCATCCCCAGAGCCAGCTGCATTAGGGAGACTCACAAAGTCACGGGCCTGGACCCGAACCTCGGAGAGCAGCTTCCTGGAGAGATGCAGGCTGACCTTGAACTCCCTCTGCAACTCCTGCAGGCTCCGGAGGGGCCTCCCTGGGGGCCTCGGGAATCCCCAGACACCAGCTCGAGCCAGGAGCAAGGAGAGTAGCAAAAGGCTGACCCCTGGAGCAATGAGGAGGGGGCAGGCAAGATGAGGGGAAGAGCTGGAAAAGAACTCAGGAAAGGGAAGGGACTACAGGCACGCTCTGTGTGTCATCTCACTGACCCCTCAAAACCACTACCAAGCTGTTGAGACACCATATGGCATCTCTGTAGAGTGAAAGGAAAGTGCCCCTTCCCCCAGGCAGACACAGTCTTGCACAGAGTGCCCGCCTTTGCAAGCGGATCTCGGGCTGCATCTTGAACCCCACTATCTCCCTCGGCCAAGTGTCTTTATCAGTGAACAAACTGCACGAGGGTATGTGGCAGCCTGGGTGCTATTATTCTCCCTATTTTGCAGATGGGGAAAGTGAGGCTCAGTAAGATTGACTTGCCCAAGGGCACATAGCCAGAGGGTGAGGGGACCAGGACTGGATTCCAGATCTGCCCAAATGCAGAGCCTGCATGCTTCCCCCAGGGAACTCTGAGGAGACCGCCACCTCCCCTGGCGTGGGCACGGTCTGTTCTGCCAAGGATTCCCCGGGCTCAGTCAGGCGGCTCTGATGACCTGAACCAGGGCCCCAGGGCTGGGCTGATGATGCTGAGGCTCTATCCCGGGGAGTCAGAAGGACAGATTGGTCCAGCCTCCCCCAAGGCAGGTAGATCACTCTGCAGGCTGGGAGTAACACGGGGTGCCAGGAGAGGGAGGAGGGTCTGGAATGGAAGGCTGAACCTGTTTCTCATTTGGGTTCTTCCCTTGAACAAGTCACGTCTTATCTCTGTGCCTCAGGCTCCCATCTGTAAAATGGGGGAGTCAGACTGGCTGATTTCTGAAAGTGCTTCCTGCCCTGCATTTCCTGGAAAGAAGGAAGAGGGGCAGTGGGGCTGGAGCTCTGGGAAGAGGGCCGTTTCTTCTTCAGGGAGAGGAAATCTAGCAATCACTAGGGAGTTACACAATTCTTCTCGAAACCCAAACCAAAACTGGCCACTAAGTTGAAGTCTATTCCTGCCCCCCCTTCTCTCCATGCCTCTTTCCTATCCATCCTTGATCTCTAAGCCCTGGGCTCTGCTCCTCGAAATGTACTCTCAGTAAAGACTAAGGGGAGATTCTGGGCGCTTCCACTACGCCCATGGACTTAACACAGGTGGTGGGTCATGCCTGCAATCTGTAGCATTCAGGCTCCCTGGCTTGGGGTCCGCTGTGGCACCCTGGAGACTTAAGGCAGACTGGGGTTCTTCCTAGCTCTATGGGTGGGCACCCCGAGGCCCTGGTGGATATTGCCCACCCAGAACTGAGCTGTGCCGTCTCTTACTGACCCCCTGCTTTCTGCCTGAGCTCTGGAGCCCCCAGACCCTTCCCTTGGTTTCTCCTTCCCCTCTGCAGCCAATCCTGGGGCTCTCGCCCAGCCTTTGAAGGTTCTGTCCCCGTCTTTCAGCCCTTGGTCCCTACCCTGACCCTACCATCGGCTCCTCTGTCTAGAGCTCTCTTTCCAGCCTCTGAGCTCTTCAGCCACCATCTGTAGCTTGGACCTCCTCCCAAGCTTCAAACTGCAGACCCTTGACCCAGTTAGGCTGCTGACTCCTTGGCCCCAGCCCCCTGCTCCGACTGTTCTTCCTCTAGCCAGACCCAGTTCTCAGCCAAGCTGATTGGCCCCTGCTCATTCACCCCAAATAAACGCTTCATCTATGCGCCTGGTCCTGGTCAGAGCGCCTGCCCGACTCTCCCCATTCATGCCAGTCAACTCTTCCCATCCTCAGCCCAGCCCTCACCAAACTTCCACCCTTCTGCAGAACGCTGTCCCCCCGTTCATGCCAGCCAACCTTCCCTGCCCCATCCTCTGCCCAGCCCTGGCTTGATCACTACCCCTCTGCCCCATCCCCTCTCCCCAGTTTATGCCTGTCTCACTCCCATCCTCCAGTCAGCTGTATCCTGTATCCTTAGTCTTGCCCACATAGTAGCACCTCAGCCCTTGGCGCCCATCCACAGCAGGCAAGTTCACCCATCCTCTGCCCAGTCTCAGCCAGGCCCCCCACCCCTCTGCCCCAGCCCTGGCCTCAAACTCACGCCAGCCAAGGTCGCCTGCCGTCTGGCCCATGGTGGGGCCAGCCTCTTTGGACAGCCATCTCCCGGGCAGGGGGAGTCTTATACTGGGGGCTGCGCCCGGTTTCACTTTCCGTCCTGCTTGTACTTTCGGCTTTGTGTTCACTCAGTCTTCCCTCTCACCACCCCTTGCTAAAATGGGGAAATGTAATTTCCCTTCCCAGAGGGGGTGGGAGGTGCAGTGAGGGTGGTGGGAAGCTGGGGTTTCGGTCAATCGCAGCTCCTGACTCCCTGCTGCTCTACCAGGTCCAGCCCTGCCCTCACTTCCCCACTCTTGGGTGAGCCACCCTGCTCTGCTTGCTGCTAGATCCCAGAGACTCTAACCCCCTCCTGTTTCTCTTCTTTGTCATCATCATCCTAATGCCATCACCAGCTCACTGTCCTTCAAAAGACGGATGGCCAGGTAAGGGGATTGCCCATTAGAGGGGACTTGGGGTTTTGAGTCATCCTTACTCTCTTCTGGTTTACCAGATGGCTGAGGGAGGGAGTGCCAGGGAAGTCAAGGCTCAGTGGGTAGCTGGGATGGGGTTTTGTGTGAGGCCGTGGGGTCTCAGTCTGGGCAGAGTCAGAGTTCAGTCTATAGTCAGGGTCAGGACTGGATGAGAACACGTTCATTCAGGGCCAAGCTCAGACTTCAGCCAGAGGCAGATCCAGGATTAGCGTTCAGTCTATAACTATGATCAGGACTTGGTCTAGGGCTGGACTCAGAGCTTTGTCTGGGACCAACATCCTGCCTCTGCCTGTGTTTGGGGTCAGAGCTATCAATGACCTGGGGGCTCTGCAAGGGGCCAGTTAGGATTGGGCTTAGAGCTCAAGCCAAATAGGGCCCAGACCTCAGTCTGCGGCCAAGGTTCCGACTGAGCCTGTGACTCAGGTCAGGACTCAGGCTTGGGCTGGGATGAGAGCTCAGTTGATGACCAGGGTCAGGGCTCAGTCTGTGGCCAGGTTGGGGTTCTGTGAGGTCAGGATCAGGGCTCAGCCAGGTCCCAGAATAGTTCTGGTGTTTCTGCTCTGTAGACGGCTGTCAGGGGCCGTCAGGGCCGGTTACAGATCTTCCTTCCAGCACAGCCCCGCCCTCAGCCCCACCCTAGATTTCCCATCTTCAGGGAGAAGATGGGGGTTTCTTGGTCTTCCCCCAAGCCCACTGCTGCCACTTTCCTTTTAGGACCCATGGGGTTTCCCTGCTGGGTCCCTGCTGTGAGACAGAAACCAAGGGGGCTTCCCCTTCCTATACCCTACCTCCTCAGCCGTGCCTGGGCAGGGCCGCCTGGGACCAACTGCCAGGGAAGTACCAGCACCAGCGGGGGAGCAATCCCAGAGGGCTGCAGGAGGAGAGGGAAAAGGAAGAGCGGCTGGCACCTGCCTAGCCCAGACCAGTTTCCGTTACAGTGCCCCCCAGTGGTGGCATCCCATTCCCCCACATGCCATGCAGCTGGTGCTCCTCAATGGGGGGGGTCCCATCCATCCTCAGACTGATGGTGAGGACAGGCAGAGGCCCTGGCTGGTCTTCCTCACATCCCCAAGTCCTGCCATTGTCCAGGAGGCATGGCCACCCACTCACCCCTCCGACCACAGCCGCTCCTGACTCTTTGCCATCATCCAGAACTGCTTTACCTTTCAAACTTTGAACCCCATCTCCCACTCTCTGACTACAACCTCCTGGCCTTCCCAACCTTCTCAGAGACCTCCCAGCCCTTGCTGCTTCTCAGCCCTTCTCAGTCTGGCTGCAGCTGACTCCTCCAGCCTCGTGCCTCAGCCCTCTCCCTGCTCCACCAACTGCTTCTTTGCCTTTGCACAAGCTGGTCTCCCTGCCTAGAATGCCCTCACTGCTTTCTCCAGAGTTCTCTTTCCCCAGCCTTCTCTGTGTCCAGACCCCTTGGCATGGGCTTTCTCCCCTGAGTGGCTCATCCCTTCCTGCCATAAATCTTGTCTCCAATGGACATTTCACATTTCTTTATCTTGCCTACTCTATCCTCACTCATACCTCTCCAGCCATATTGGCCTCCTCCTTGCTCCTAGAACATTCCAGTCATGCTCCTGCCTCAGGGCCTTTGCTCTTGCTGTTTCTTCTGCCTAGGACACTCTTCTTCATATCTGCAAAGCTCACTCTCTCCTTATTACTCTGCTCAAATATCTCCTTTATAAATGGGGTCTTCACTGACTACCCTGAAAAAGGGCAGCCCTGCCCCTGGAACTCTCTATCCCCTTCCCTGCATTATTTTTTTCTACATAGCATTTTAGATATCAAACATTTTTAGATATTGAACATTTTCTTTCTCTCTCTCTCTCTCTTTTTTTTTTGGTCTGTCTCCATGCACTAGAATATGCGTTCCACAAAGATGGGAATTTTTGCCTGTTCTGTGAGCTGGTGTATCCCCAGTAGCTAACAACAGCAGGTTCTCAATAAATCATTGAACAAATCTATCTTCTGCCACAAGTGTCTCATCCAGGTTCTGCTCATGGCTGGTGAGCTGTAAATTGCCTGCATGGAGCAGCAGGTCTGGGAGCAGCCAGAGTCCTGAAGTCTCACAGTCAGCTTTCTCCCAGTCTGTCCAAGGCTTCAGTCAGGGGCTGAGGGGGGTAAGGAGGCACCTGGGCTGCTTTGCATGGCTGTGGGTTGACGATCTTAGATCCTTGGCAAAAAGCCAGAGGGTCAGTGAGGGCAGTGCCAGCCTCTGTCCATATCCTTAGAGGATGGGCCTGGCCCATCTCTGCCCCCCTGGGCCTGTTTCCACAAGTGGATCTTGGCTAGTAGGCTGAGGCTTGGGTTGGGGCCAGCAGGAAATGGAAGGGATGTGGTGAGGGGTGAGAACAGCCCGAAAGGGCTGTGGACTCCGGTGTGCAGCTAACCCTTCTGGTGACCTCACGTGAGTCATTAGCCTACTCTGGACCTCAGTTTCCTCATCGGAAAGTGATCACAATTTTCAAATGCTGCCACTATTATTACATAGAGAAATTAAAACCCAGATGATTAAAAAGAGACAGAGAGAGGAACCATCCACCAATTTTTCTGATTATTTTCCAAGCCCTGTTACAGCTCTGGCCGTGTGGGGCACTCCATGGGGTTGCATGGGAATCCTGAGTTCAGGAAGCAGAAGTTAGGAGCCTCAGATGTGACATCAGGATGGAATCAGGGAGGGGAAGTCTTGTTCAAGGTCACACAGCAGATCAGTGACAGAATGAAGACTGGAACTCCAGTCCCTCATTTTCAGCTTGGGCTGGCGAGGGGAATCCCTGGGCCCCATGATCTCAGCTTCCAGATCTAACCCCTCGGTGAAACTAAGATGGGCTTCAGTGAAGGTGGGAAGGCTGGGGAGAGGTGAGGCCAGGCTGGAGCTGGGGCCACACCTCTGAGTCTCCCAAACACGAGTGATGAGGTCCCTGAGGCTAGGCACAGCTCCCACCCGCTCCCAGGAGAGCAGAGGTGAATAAAGCCCCGTGTCCCAGTCCGAATCACTGGGCCCATTGTACGCATGCGCCCTGCTGCACGCCACACCTAGGGTTTATTCTGCAGCGCGCACTCAAGGCCGCAGCAAGGCAGCTTGGGTGCCCCACCCCCTTCCACCCACCTTGGGGGCCGCCTCTAAATACAGCGTCTCTTATGGGACTACTGACCCTGGGGTTGCAGGGGCAGGGCGGGAGGAGCCTGGAAGGGGAAAAGGGTTTCTCACACTCGGTCCCACCTCTTTTTTCCTACGCCCCCCCCCCCCCCCCCCCCCCCCTCTCAAAGCCAGGCAGGCACGTGCGGTGCGCGGAGGGCTGAGAGAAAGGGAGTGCAGGGGGCACCTTGCCAGGGACTAGATGTTCATCGCTGGGTGTTCTATGTAAATGACACAGGAATGCAGGGGCAGGAAGACTGAGCTATGCAGGGTGTGAGCAGAAGGTGGGAAGCCAGGTCTGTTGAGTGCCAGGAAGAGAGTTCCTGAGGCAGGGCTGCAGAGAAAAAAAACACCAGCCTGGGGGTGAAAAGTCCCGGTGCAAGTCCCGGCTCTGCTCTGCCTGAGCACACTGGGCTTCAGTTTCCCCATCTGGAAAATGAGGCCCGCGATCCCAGCCCTGCCCACCTCTCAGCCCAGATGTGAAGGCAAAATTGGGAAGGTACAGGGCTTCAAGGGTCAGGGCCCCACTGGGGAGTCAGACAGACCTTTCACAGCTCCAGCACTTCCCAGGGTGACCTTGGTCAAGGCAGGAAACCTCCCTGTGCTTGGCTCCTCTACCCGGCGGGGGACACTACTCTTACCAGCCAGATAGCACAGCTGTGATGATTATGCATATAAATGACTGGCACTGCCACTGAGTAGCTGTGTGATCTTACACAAGTTAATTAACCTCTCTGTGCCTAGGTTCATCATCTATAACATGAGAAAAATAATCCAAACTCATAAGACTGTTCAGAGGATTCAATGAGCTATTGTTTATAAAGTGCTTGGAACAGGGGCTGGCACGTGGTAAGACCGTAGGTTTTAGCTATTGGTATTAGTATAAGGCCTGACCCACAAGGAAGCTCTCAAGAAATGCTAGTTGTCATTAATAAATACTTGGGATGGTTGTCATCAATGGGCAAAGAAAAGCCAAAGGAGAGTTGGAGGAAGAGGGTAAAGAAGAGGCTACAGTTAGAGCTTAGGAAGTTCGGATAGGTACTGGGTGCAGGTGGGGGACCCCAGGCAGAAGGCACCTGGTAACCCAGAGACATGCATCAGAGCAGAGTTCCGGCCAGAAGCAGACGCCTCAGGGAAACAGCCAATTAGGCCCTGGGCCACAGTGTGGACAGCCTCAGCTCTCAGGACCATTGGTTGGGACTCATTTCCTAAGTTGGGTGGGGCTTCATCAAGCCTCCCTATGGAGAGGACTTGGAATGGAGACAGGCTCCGGGCTGAGCCCCAGGCCAGGCCCTGACAGGTGTCTGAGAGAGGCAGGCAGGCCCCGGGCAGACACCAGGTCCTCCAGCAGCCCTAAGCTCTGAGGCTGACACTGGGCCCCACCCAATCCGGGGGCCCTCACCTGGCAGCCTCCTTGGGGTCTCAGCCACCCCTGACTGCTGTGTCCCTTGCTTATCCTGAACCCTGCGTTTGAGCCCCCCAGTTCACTCCCCAGGAATGGAACACACTCACAGCTTATATTTTTATGTACCATCTGATCTGAGCAAAAGAATGTATACAACATGTATGTTTCTGCTCACCCACTTTTCTTCCTTCTACCTCAGTTTTGGTCCTGGGTCCCAACAGGCTAACTGCACAACTGATTCACTGATTCCCATGGCTCCTCATTTCACCCTGAGTGAAAGCAAAAGCCCTTCCAGT